AATTCTCTTGGTGGAGTAGACACAGAGGACTCTCCAGTCTGGGGTGTGGAGGTATCGTGCTGTCTGATTTTCCCCAGCAGGCAGCACGGCGCTTGGGTCCATTAGGTGCTCAATGGGCCTCTACTGGCTTGAATGAAGGTCTTACTCTGAATCGCTTCTTTGTTTCACATTATAAACACAAAGACAAGCAAGCTGACAATAAAATTAAGGCTGCTTCAGAGCTGCACTGACCTTTACTGGAACCACTCGTGGCTATTAACTTAAATCCATTAACATTTGATAGGATTAATAATTCAGCTGCTCAGTCACAGTGAGTGCCTCGTAGCCACATGTGGCTGCTAGTTAGCATACCGGACAGTGCTGACTAAGTCCATGTCCAGTTCGGTGCAGTGGCTCAAACCTGTAATCCCAGCACTTTGGGAGGCTGAGGCAGAATTATTTGAGGCCAAGAGTCTGAGATCCACCTGAGCAACATAGCTAGGCCCTATCTCTACAAAAAAATTAGCTAGGTTTGGTGGTGTGCGGCTGTACTTCCAGTGACTCAGGAGGCCGAGGAAGGAGGATCACTTGAGCCTGGTAATGTGAGGTTACAGTGAACTATGACTGGGCCACTGTGTTCTAGCCTTGGTGACAGACGGAGACCCTCTCTCTAAAAAAAAAAAAAAGAGCCTGTCCATAGTGCAGACAGCTCTGTTGGGCATCACTGCTTTTGAGAAAGAAGGATCAGGTCCTGAATGGACAGATGAGAAAGGAGGGGAAATTTGTATAATTTTTAGTGTATGTCTTTGATATGGTATAGAACAGTATGGAATATTACATGTACTACTTGAATTTCTTACAGATAAAAACACCAAGATAGGAGCAAATTTTAAGTGCACAGATGTCATTAACTTGAATTTCATGTAAATTCAGGTGAATATTATGCTTACATTTTTTAATGCTCTCTGCAGAATTTTCTTAAATGTACTTTTGAATTGTTTCATATCAAAAAGGTCAACATCTTCATCTGTCAAAGTGGGAAAACAAAGAAATATTAAGGGAACTAAACTGGTCTTTAATAAGAAATACATTTGTAAAGATACTGAACCTAAGCATTTTATATAATTCCAGAACAACAGTTATTAAGTCACGCCAATGTTGCTAGGACCTCTGACACTACATTACCAAATATATTTTTGATTTTCCATAAATGAGTCACAAATAATCACCTCATTTTGAAAGAAAACAGATTTAAGGGGGACATACTGCTATTCATTTTTAAATTGCCAAAATGTCAAATACAAGTATTCAAGATGGAAAATATTACCTGGTCCTTTACTCATCTGAAAAACATCCCACATTTTCTGGTGCCGATGAACTTGAGTATCTGAGAGAGGCAAGCAGGGTTATTACTTAGTATGATAGCATAGAACCTTGAAGCAATGTGCTTATAACTAGATCTTTTTAATAATATGAAACTGAGGAAAATAACAGTAATTTATAAATCAGATTGTACAGATTTTTATTCAAAATACAAACTTTACATGGATTATATTTACTTCATACAGATAAAACAAATCATCACTGCTTGACTCAACCAGCCTGATGACACAGTGGAGCTCCAGCATTTATACTCATGTCCCTGGGATGTCACCTCTTCCCAGCATGACAGGGAATGCTGGGTTCCATGTGACCGACACCTGTGTTGTCATTCCTTTGCCTGGAGCCTCTTCTAGCTCCTTCCAGACCTCATTTTGCTGTCCACTCAGAATGGCCCACCCTCTTCACCCCTGCCTGGTTACCCTGCTTTAGTTCCTATCAAGAGATTCAGCAGTACCTGAGGTTACATTATATATTCTGATGTTCATCTGTATATTGCTCCAATTAGATTCTTATTTATTTATTTATATTTTAGTTTTAGCAGGCCCAGGCTGGGTTTGAACTCGCCACCCCTGCCACATGGGGCTGGTACTCTAACCACTGAGCTACAGGCATCCCCCCATTCCCACCCCTTACGCTCCATTCTTCTGGCTTAAAGCTGTCCCTGAATAGTGTAAATACAAATCGTCCAAACTTACAAATGATGTCTAAAATGGCTGCGTCATTGAGACTTGCATGCTTTTCCTGAAAGAGAGGGTAAGTTATTTAGTAACCATGGTGATACCCCATTTAAAGCCCATTTTAGGATGGGTTAGAACCCACCATGAGCAGGCTCTCAGCCATGTACTGACCTCCTGTCTAACATCTGTGTTCTCCTGTTAACCAACAGATACATCTTCTGATTCAAGTCTCAGTCCAGGCACTCATCATCATCCTCCCACAATTTATTACTCATTTATTGGTCTTTAAAATAAACTCTATTGAGGTGGCTCCGCACCTATAGCTCAACTGGCTAAGGCGCCAGCCACATACACCTGAGCTGGTGGGTTCGAATCCACCCGGGCCCACCAAACAACAATGATG